TCTTTTAAGTATGCTTCTTTTTTTTTTGAAATTAAAATTGACATGCATATATATATATATAAAGATTAAAGAGAAGATCATTGCATTATTTTACTGTTTAGACTATAAAAAGCTTTCTTTTAAAAAAAATATTATAAATGAAAATAAAAATAGTAAAATATTATTAATAAAATAACACAAAAATATTAAATTAAAAATATGTAAATAATTTCTAAAAAAGTTACTAGCATCTAAAATGCAAGAACATATTCATTCTCATTTTTCTCATAACAATATACTCTAGCTATGACTAAAAGCTATCACAACAAGAACGATACATGGAGCATTTCCTGGGCAGTCTGAGCATCTTCCCGGACAACCCACCAAGTGCCACATCATCGCACGAAATCTTGAGGTGACTATATATGGCTAATGAAATGACCAAACCTGATCATAACATCAGCGCCAACCTTTAGGTCGAAGATCACGTGGCCACTTTATCTCAAATCGGAGTTGATCCCCTTCACCAGCCGCCCATCAACATAAGAATCTACCACAAAAAAACTGGTCTCCTCCGTTGTAACGTTGCGCCACCCCTGATAGAGCTAGCGGCTGGTTACTAGTTTGAGTAAGTAAACAAATAATTAAATAAATGAGAAATGATTGAAACACCCTTCGATTCAATATTTAATTTAACATCTTTTAGTTTAATCATTAAAAATATAATATAAATACAGTCAATTCAATTGATTCTTGTATCATGTGTGCATGATTATAACATTATACTTGTCTGCTTTTAATTTCAGACTAAAAAATAATGATTTTTTAATGACTAAACCAAAAAATGTTGAACCAAATATTAAACCGAATGTTGAACCAAAAGATGCACAAATTGAAATCCCAGCTAGCTACCCCTCAATTCCTAAGATATAAAACTCATTTATTTTCCTTTATAAAAACGCGAATGAAGTTTTCAATATACATGTATAATATGTTGTACAAAATAAAACAAAGATCAACTAGAATCTTGCAAATAAAGTGCAGAAAAATAAAAAAGAAAGGAAAGAGAATATCAAGCCATGATTTATAGTGATTCCTCCAACTCGGAGTATGTCCACTCCTCAAGCCTCCTTGCTCAAGAGTTCAATCCACTAGGATTCTCTTGCTTACGGGTGCAAGATTAAACCTTCACAAGTGAATCTCAACTCACTTAACCCCTTCAAGAATTATACCAATCCAAAAAGAATACAAAACCCTTGTAAGACAATTAACCCAAAAGCTCACAAGAAGAAGAAGAAGAAGATCCAAAACAGTTTCAAAAACAAACTCTGTTTTTCTACATCACTGGAAAAGTTTGTTCTTCTGTGTTCATTCCAGATCTAATTTTATGATCTTTTTAATAATAGGTTTGGAGCCTTCCAATTAAAACCCATTTAGCCCTTCAAAGCCACCTCACTAATGCTCCAATTAGATTCCACCTTATTCTACTAACTATGACTTGATTTTGAAAAGTGCTCAGACAATTGATTCCCCCAAGACCCATTAAGAATAAAAATAAACAAATAGATGAGCTATCAAAATTTAATCTTCCAGAATTTTTGCTTCGAAGCCAAAAATAATGGTTCGAACCATTTTCAGAAAAAAGAAGTTCAGGATTGGTTCAAATCAAATTAAATTGATTCGAACCCAGAACTCTGAACAAGAGAAACATGAATTAATTTTAATCGTGAGGAAAGATTAGAATTCTTGAATTAATTTTCCTACACACTTAGTACCAAAATAGATTAAACTCTTTTAAATCATGGTTTTAAATCATCATCAAAATACAAAGAGAACCTAACACCAATAATTGTCCTAAATAAATATCATTGTGAAAAAATGGAAGAAACGAACGGATATAGAATATGGACATTACTTTTTTGTTGGGTTTGGAGACTTGGAAACGGGCGTTCCACATGGCGGTTAGGCGCTGGCGGGGAGCAGAGAGGAGTTGTAGTTGGAAATGGAGAGGGACTCTATGGAGAAATGCGGGTCGCGCTGCTCTATGGCTTCCTAGAAGATTAGGTTAAAGTGGGAGAAGAAGATCACGGTGCCGCAAAAGTTGTAGAGGACGCATAGGGATGGTGCACTGCAAGAATGTAACCCCATTTGCTTGAGAAAATATGCACGTAGATAGAAGGAAAATTGACACAAGAAAAACAAATGCGTCAACTGTTGTGGACGTTGATTTTGACATTGAAAAGTGTATCATAAATATATTTGTATCAACACAAAAGAAACTGACATTGATCTCCAAAAAATTACATAAGTTTAAGTTGGACGCATATGTTCACACAATTATAAGTTATTGAGTGAACTTTAAGTTTCGATATTGCTAATATTGTATCAGAATGAGAGTCAACTAAATAATTGACGTTAATACTTTTGTCATATTAAAAAAAAAAGTACTGAGTTTTAATATAATGATAATAATAATAATAATAATAATAATAATAATAATAATAATAATTAATGTATTATTATTATCATTATTATTGATACTCAATAATAATATGGTGATTGAAATTCATTAATAAAAATTAAA